CTGACTTAGATCAAATTAATGCGGGTCGGGTCAAAATTCCTAACCTATAAAAACCAAGTTGGGTCGAGTCAGCACAAAAACCTGACCCGTCCTGACCCATGCACAACCCTATATGGGATCATGTAAAGATAAGAGAAAGAAAAAGGAAATATAGGTTTCACACACTTTTATGTGTCTATAGGAGATAATTTTATCTCTTATAATATAATAAATATTAATATCTTTTTTTTATTTATCGTATTTAAGTCCTGTTGAGTGACCGGTCCAGGTAATACATCAAATTTGCATTCATCTAAACCGGTAGAAACCGGATCAACTTGGCAGGTTTGCAATTTTGCATGAAAATCGGAGGGCCGAGACTCATAATAAGCCGGTCCAGGCTTGACCAAACACAGATCAAACTTGTTCATTACAAGTGGGTTATAAATAGTGTGTTTTGTCATACGATGAGGAACTTTGAATTCAGACGCAATATGTAAATAGATATGCGGGAGCCATTTGTATTTTGTGAACCAGGAATAGGACGCAAGTTAAAAAACAAAGATGGCGGGAGATTCACTAATGTTAATAGGGTTCTGGGGTAGTCCATTTGTTCTCAGGGTCAAGTGGGCTCTTGAACTAAAAGGGATTCAGTACCAATATGTGGAAGAAGATCTAAGCAACAAAAGTGCCATGCTTCTGCAGTATAACCCTGTCTACAAAAAGGTACCGGTTGTTGTGCATGACGGTAAGCCCCTGGCAGAATCACTAGTGATTCTTGAGTATATTGATGAGACCTGGAAGCAGAATCCTCTTCTTCCACATGATCCCTATGAAAAAGCCAAGTGATTTGTTGATGAAAAGGTATGAAATATGTGGCATCTGAAGAGGCTGCAAGTAGTAATTAATTAGTATACAGCATATTATCATATCCTTTTCTTTTCTTTTTTTTAACACTAAAGCTACTAAAGTTTTCAACTGATCTTCAATATTCAAACTCTCATACAGAAACCAACCCTTTTTTATTTTCAGTGTGTACCATCTGTTATGGTCACCTTTTCCAAGGGAGGAGAGGAACAAAGCAAGGCAGCACAAGAAGCTAGAGAGAATCTACAGACCCTTGAAAGTGGACTTGAGGGAAAGGGTCTCCTTTGCTTTAAACCTAAACACATACATACAAGATGCATCAATTGAATTGTTCCCAGATAAAACATGTCCTGCAGGAAACAAATAAGAATTACTCCATCAAAACGAGACAAATTAAATGCCTCAAGAGTAGCAAGGGTGTAATCATTCTTCCACCATTTTGAAGATGAGAGAAGCCAGGTTATCATTAGAAAGGTGCTTCCTAAGCAATATTTTGTACAATGATAAACTTGAAAGACAAAAATTGAAAATTCTCAGTACTAATATACTGCTATGCCGTTCGCACTTCAAAATGCTTCCCGAAATGCTCTGCAGTGGCCATCTAAAAAGTTTCCTTGGTGTCCTCCAATCACGATTTCTCAACTTAGTATAAGCTCTCTTTGGTAGGCTTTATCTATCTTTTCGGTTCTCTGTTACCTTCAACAACCTTTGGATGTATTCCATTTAGCTATGTACCTCGTGTTGAACACTAAATGCTGAGCTGCAAATCATAAATGCATGAACAAAGAATCTCAGTGGATAAGGAAGAGGAGAAAAGGGACCAACTTAGGAAAGGCAGAGAACTAAGAAAATATTATAAAGAGAATAGTAAAAGCAAAATATCAACATCACAGCATGATTGGCTTTGTTTCTTTATGATACTTGCGCAATCTGGGAAAGGTAAAATAAAACAATGGGCGTTGCAATTGTTTGTCTTGTTTGCTGGGCCATACCACGATTAATATTGTGGACATGTAATAGAAATTTAACCTTTCAGTCAATATGAAAAACCAAATCAAACCTGTTAGACACCAAGTAAAACAATTTTGTTCGTAAATGATAAGCCAAAACTACACATAATGATAAAAAGGGAAATCTAACATTTCGAAATATAAGACAAACAGTGTCAGCATAGCATTCAAAAATCAAAATTATTTTGAATTAATAACTGGAATACAATGTAAATTTTTCCTCTACTCTCTTGACAAAGTAGAGCAAATCTACGATGACGATCTCACATTCTAAAATTGCTTCATGGAGAATGAGTTAAAGTTCCTACATGGCAAAGCACAGTGAAAGATAGAAATTCCATAAGCCTAGTAAGAAAAGCGAATGAAATGATCCTTCCCTGTTGATGCAATGCATAACTGTAAGAACTCCAACTGTCAACTTGAATGACATTTCGTGTATATATAAACACAAAGCTCATGAGCTATATTCCTCTATTTACATCATCTCGAGCCACAGCCAGAACCAAACATAGGGCAAAAGAAATAGTAAATCAATTGAATATTCATTTCTTTCAACCAATTGATAATATAAGAGTGCAGTCCTTTGGCCCAGTTAACAGGGTTGTAGTCCCGTGTTTACAGATAAAATACCAAAATGAGTGAGGAAAAAAAGAAGAGTAAGCACAAAAGGTAATGGGGATGAGGAAGGAAATTTCTTACCAACTGCAGATTTCCCTCCCTTAATTGGTTGGTAGCCATCCTCTTTCTCAGATTCTGCAAACAAACCAAAAGGCTTTAAATTTATTAATTTATACTTTCTCATTTTGAAATTTCTAGCTTTAATCATTGAAAAGATGAAAACGGGAAAATTTGCTGATAAAAAAGTCTTCAGGAATGGAGGAAGCTATCTTTTTTTCTCTGCAAGTTATCGGCCAATTATGAATAATACATCAACAAAGACAAAGAAGACATTTTTCTCTAATCAAACTAAAATCACCAAGACTTGTGTTAACCATACTGAAATTACTGATTTATAGCAAACCATATCTCTGAGTTTGAATGTCAGTACAAATACAAAAGAGCATGATATACTTCCTTCCTAACTGCTACGGAACTTCTAAAATTATAAGAATATAGATATTGCAGCATCTAGTAAGAAGCTAATATTTACGAAGAAGGTACATGAAGTCCTCCTTCCAAGTTTTATATGACAATGTTGCCTGTGGGTTTTTCTTAGTTCTATTAAATAATGATCTAGGTATGAAAAAATTTAACGTCTATTAAAGACAATGAATTACCAAATGAATGAAATTGACTTCCGGTTACTGCTTCAACTCCGAACACCTCAGCCTGAACATGTCCATAAAGCATGAATTATTCTCAGAAAGAGAGGAGAGAAGAGGGGGGGGGGGGGGGGGGGGGGGGGGAACCTGCAAATCTTGCAAGAAGCAATCAGAAAAACTTAATGGATTTGATGTTACCTACCGAGTGAAGGCTTCAAGAATGGAAAGGGTCTCACTATCCATCTGAACTTTATCTTCATCCATCATTTTAAGGATATTGAAAGGTGGTTTGTTAGCAGAAAGGTGCATTCTAAGCAATATTTTATACAATGATAAACTTGCAAGGCCAAAATTATGGATATCAGTAATATACTCGTTTGCATAGTCAAAATTCCCATGTTTCTCCAAATACTCTGCAATGGCTAATACAAGTCCATGTGGCGGCCTCCAATGACAGTCTTTCAACATAGCCAAAGCTCTCTTCATGGCAATAATAGCCTTGTCCATTTGTTGCCACTTGACAAATCCTTCGATGAGAATCTCCCACGTCTTGTAGTTTGGACAACCACCATTCTCCAATGTGTGGAGATGTAATGATTCGGCTTCTTCCATTAATCCATTCCGCACATATGCACCCAAAAGAACATTAGAGACTCTGATATCGTACTTCTGACAATTAGACTCCCATTCTATGAAGATTCTCTTGGCTTGTACAATTTCACCAAGCTTCACCAAGCATGTTAGCATGCAAATGTAGTTGGCACAGCTGATTCTTCCACCAACCGCCTTACTAGCTTCCCATAACCGCAAGACTCCCTCCTTTTCCTTCAAAGAGGTATATAGTGTTATGAGGAAGAAGTAACCAAGACGGTTACAGGTAGATAGTTTCTTTTCAGCATTTTCGAGAACCTGAATGGCTTTGCCAGATTGTCCCACTTTCATATAAATATTGGCTAAAGTAGCAAGACTGCTCCATCCCACTTCAACATTCTCGTCATTTTGCATTACTCTGAAAACTGTTTCTACTGCTGCAACCCCGTATCCTTCTCCCTCCCCACAAGCATTCATCCAGAGGTTGTAGGACAGAACATTGCAGGGTACTTTATTGCGCTTCATTTGCTGGATAACAAGGGGTACCTTCCTATACTCGCACGTGGCCAGATATAGTTTCATCATCTCATTATAAGGGTGAGGGCTCACAACTAGTCCCAGTTCATAGAGCTCCACCATGAAAGTCTCAGCTTTACTAGAGTCCCTATCTCTTACATAGCTACGCAGAAGGGGGAGACAGGCAGCTTTCTTTGCTGCTGAGTCAGGTATAGTCATAAAATATTCTTTAGCTTCCGTTAGACTATAATTTTTAATTATTAATTCCATTTTCATAGCATGATCAGCTGGGATTATACAGAAATTCTTCTGGTTTTCCATCCATTTCAATACCTGTGCAAAAGAATAATTAACCAATTGAAATTTCTTAATGAATGAAATAGATTCTGCCTCATAAAATCCATAAACTGCATTGCAATGAAAATTATGAAATGCTCAACAGAGATTGAAAGAACCCATAACCAGCAACAGTACGTTATATGAAGCTGTAAGTAGTTACTCCCGGAAAGTAGCATAAGCAACTGGCCCCAAAGACACTATGGTGGTACAACTCATCACGAAGCCGCCGCTATACCAAGGATAGACAATACAATGCCAATAACTTATACTGCACACATGAATTCTCAAAACTCTGAAGGTACTCAAAATTCAAGACATATTCATATTTAATAATCAAAACCCATAAATTTAAGGCTCAATCATCATTGATCTAAGGCATAACTAAAAACAATAAGTCAATAAAAATAAAAAACATAACGAAATAAAAAGTACAGCACCAAATCCTAAATAGGTTAAAGCCTTTAAGGCAGAAGCTAAACATTCAACACATAAAAAAAGAAGCAACAATTCTCCTTATTCCTCAATCGAAATCATCATCTACAAGATCTTCCAAGTTCTCTTCATCAGTATTGCCTTCACTATCACTATACTTGTAGATCTCTTCCTCTTCACTTTCTACATTACTTGCCACTTCTTCATCTCCAATAATATCCCTTGTACTAGAGCTTGAAGTTGCTATCTTCTTTAATCTTGCTCGCTGCCTAGTGAATGGTGTAGGCTCACCTGCCTCGACTACATTAGCAGCAACTCCCGAGGTCGAAGTATCATCATAAAAATCAAAATCCTCTTTATTACTTTCTCCATCTCCGCCCATTTCTTCCATCAGCCCCTCATTACTATCATCAATGTTGTTTAGAAGAATGGGATCAATCATACCACAGTTTTCAAAACGTTCTTTAAGAGCATGGTTATACTTAATAAAAACCAAGTCTTCCAACTTTTGTTTCTCAAGCTTGCTTCTCTTCTTAAAATGAATCTATTGTATAAATTACAAAAAAGAATTAGTTTCACAATCACTACATGAAACTCTAAAAAGTAAAATAATTAACATCTACTTACATTCTAAAAAATACTCCAATTACGCTCACATCCGTGTACACAACATGTCAAGCTCAACACTTTAATAGCAAATGCTTGCAAATTTGGAGTAGATGATCCATACATCCTCCACCACTCGGCTGTAATGCAATAACTAATTAGCATTACTATTTACATGAATTGTCATCTACTCATATAATTAAATTTATCAAGAAATGCACTTTTACTTACCAGGAGACAAAGTGGCCCTTTGTCTTATTGCCGCTTTAAAACCAAAGATGCCTCCAACTCTCATGTATAATGACAATTCATTTGTAATGCTATCCACCCCTTCGTTAGTTGGTATCAGCCTCTCAATGCACTGATGAAGTCCAGTCATCACTTTTGAATCATATTGAATTTGTCGATTGCAATAGAAGAACTCTGGGTTTAGAAAATAGCATGCTGCATGCAAAGGATGATGAAGTTGGCACTCCCATCTTTTGTCAATGATAGCAAAAATGTCCTTGTATTTGTCTTCCTTTCCATTGAAGGATCTTTGAATAGTTTCCTTAGCCCTATGCATTACTTGATACATATAACCCATTGCAGGATTTTTTTCATTATAAACAACCCTAAGAACATGCACAAGAGGCCCTATAGCTTTAAGAGAATAAACTACATCATTCCAAAACGTAGGCATGAGTACAATGTTAGTTGCCATTTTCCCCTTAGCATCTTTAGATCTCATAGATTTCAACCATTCATCTGAAGTAAACATCTTTCTAAGGTTGTTTTTTTGTTTGTGCAACCTTTGAAAAGTAAGAAACGTTGTAGCAAACCTTGTGACTCCATGTCTAACCAATTTCATCTTGTTTGTGAACTTCCTCATCATGTTTAATGCCAATGAATGGTTATGAATAAAGCCTACAAGAGCGATGCCTCTTTGTACTGCCTTTTTAACTCGAGGGATCTTTTCAATATCTTCTAACATCAAGTCCACACAATGTGCAGCACATGGAGTCCAATAAAGATTCATTCTTTTGACTTGTAATAATTTACCTAAGACCAGATTAAATGAACTTAAATGAATGATCAATATTAAAGCAAGTAACAAACTTTTTAACACTTAAATTGTGAAACTAAATTAATTTTAATTCTTACCAGCCACGGCATAGTTGCTGCCATTATCAGTTATCACTTGAACAACATTCCCTTCCCCGATCTCCTCCACAAAAGCATCCAACAACTGAAATAGCTTATTCTCAGTCTTCATATATGCAAAAGCATCAACACTTTTCACATACATAGTCCCAGATGGACAGTTCACCATCAAATTGATCAAGGTCCCATCCTTCTTATCTGCATCTAAGATAATTGAACATCCAAATTTCGACCATTCTTCCTTATGACCCCTCAACATTTCCTTTGTTTGCTTCATTTCCTTCTCTAGGAGTGGACCGTTCGTCTCGTATAAGCTTGGAACCTTTAGGTGTGGACCATAATTTCCAATAGCTTCAACCATCAACTTGAAGCTTCTCGAACACACAACATTTAAAGGTATTCCATTTGTATATAAAAATTGAGCTATATACTGAATCGTTCTAGCCCTTGCTTCTTTAAGGCAAGCATCATTTATACTTGTCTGCCTCTTGGTCTTTCCTAATTTAAGAGTTTCTTCTGGACTTCTAGAAGTAAGTAAATCCATCGGGCCTTCTAGGCTTTTGCCTTTCTTGGCCTTGGAGACAGTTGTAGGAGTATCACTTGATGATGTTGCAGTCCTTTTCCTACTTTGAATAATAGGGATTTCTTGCATCCCTTCTTCAACGTCATCGTCTTGCTTCAACTCAGCAGTGTAAGCAGCAGCGTCAGCTCTTTTCTTCTCAGCAAATTCCTTAAGCAACTTCTTAATTTCAGGCAGACATTCCTCGCAAGCATTTAGATCCCCTATTGTACCCATCTGTTATCGTATTGCTCTAGTATTCCCACCGAATAGTGACTTTGCTACACAAACCACGTCAAACTTTTCCTATTGTCCCCTATGAGGCTGGAAACACTGCATAAGAGAATCTTGAGCAGAGGCGTGGGAAATATGAACAGAGAAGGGAGTGTGCAAAGACAGAGGTGCTAAGAGCAAAGGAAAATCACAGGGTTTGGCCGAACATACAAGTTGACTGCCGTCAGTAAAAACAGGGACGGTGCAGTGGGTTTTCTTGTAAGGGAGAAGGTTTTCAAAACCTAAAATGCTTCTGATATTTATAATGGGGAAGGTTTTCAAACCCTAAAATGCTTCTGATACAATATAAAGGAAATCACGAAAATCTCCTGAGAAAGAGCGGGAAAACTCAGAAAATAGGGGGGCAAAATTGGGCTTTTACCCCAGTGCAGCGTAGCGGCCGCTACGGACGCGATGGCCGCGATAGAGGGCGAGATGCACGCGACAGAAAAATCAAGCGTAGCGGCGCTATTGGCCGCGATTAACTATTTTTTGAGCTTTGAAGCACAATTTGCAAGAATAGTAAAAAGCACAAGAAAATCGAACCTCAAGTGCGTGCTGGTAGCGCTTCGATTTAACGAGGGTTCTGGAGATGCGTCTGAGCTCGGAGTGTGAAAGCTTGTTGCCTTGGTCCACCCAATTTTGAAGCGCTGGCAATGGGCTCCGTTTGGGGGTCCTGAGTCCCGAAATTCGGTTCTTCATGATGTGTTTGCGCGCGAATGGCTCCTCCGTCACATCTAACGTAGAATTAGAAGCGCGAGAAGCTACGGGGCTCCATAGACTTCGTGCGCCGAACACAAAACTGATGCTTCAAAGTTTTCCAAGCAAGCTTAGCGTCATCGTCAGAAACCGGGAGAGAGAAGGGATTGGGGAACAATTAGAGAAAGGTTCAGAGCGGCGTACCGTCTGATTCCGGCGGAGAGGGAGCGGTTCGCCATCCAAAGCTACGGCGTCGCCGATCAAAGCCTTCACAGCTGACGGACGGTGCTGATTTTCGTTGACACTGGATGGGACATCAATTTGCCACTAATTGCAAATAGCAAAAGTACACGTGCTGGTAGTCAAGAAACGACACCGTTAAACCCAGTGCTAAAGGTCTAAAACCCCTAAACCCCGATACAAGCAAGAGACGCACGTCCACCGTACGTGAATTAACCAAACTTATGAAATAAACCAATTTAAACCAGAATTAACTGAATCATTACGATCCGGTTATTTTTAGTTACAATTAGGACGCGTATGGTATCGGAGAAATTTTTTTTAATTCATAAAACAATTATTATTGGAATATAGTGAAAAATATTTTTGTACTAAAAAACTGTTTGGTAAAATCAAATTTTCCTTGGGAAATTATGAATAAATTTACTGAGTGTATGTTTGGTTGGTTGTGATATATTTGTGGGAATATTAGGTTATTTTACTAAAATAACATCAGCCGTACATAATGTTTGAAATATTAAATTTTTAACATCTGGAAAAAAAAGACGAACGCATCTGGTTTGTTGTGAGAAAGAAGACCATTCAAAGAAGGTGGTCGACATCTGTGATAAGTCAAAAGTACGAGTAACAACAGAATTAGAAGATGGAATAATCAGAGAAGAAGAAGAAACTCGAGTTTCTGATGACAACAACTCAGTGCAGCAGCTTCGTTTTCTTGGCCATGAAGACCTCCAGAAGAATTCTACAGTGCAGGAAAACAAGAACAAGAGGAAGAGACCAAGAACTGTTAAAACAAGTGAAGAAGTTGAGAGCCAGAACATGAATCACATCGCAGTGTTTGCAAACTGATGTACGAAAATGAAGGTTAGATTCGTCAATTTTTTCGCGCCTATTGTTCCATTTCCCCGAGCAACAAAAGGATCCATGTAATCAATGGCATTTTTTGCAAACGATCCGTACGATTACTTACACATACTTCACTATTGCCGGGATTAAACTGAACTATGGATTTGTTACCATTTTTGTCAACCAAACATGGATATCGTATTTCTCCAAGCTTGGTTTCTCGGAGAAGGCTAAATAATCCGGCTACCAAACGCCACCTTAGTTCACAATATTATATAGGTCAATGAACCATCCATAACCAAACTAAACTGAATAGTGTATGGCGGCAATGATTATGGTTTTCTTCAATTGGATGGTGTCCACTGATACAAATTTTCTTTAAATATTATGGTACAGTTTTGGCATGGAATGATTTTTTAAAAATAGTATAACCTTGACACTGACTGAGATTTAAAAAATGGTATAGCCTTGGCACGGGCTAAAATTATTTCCCAGCTCCGCCACTTATGGTCTCTAGTTTTTAAAATATCATTTGTTATTAATCAAGGTTGCAAATATGCACATAACACATTGCATCTTGATTGGATTGAATTGAATTGAATGTTTTTTTTTAATTAATATTATTAAAAAAAATTGTTTGCTGACATTGAGGTTAGAGAACAAGCAAAATTGGTGACTAGGAAACAGCTTGCCACAAATGTAAACTAGATGTTCAATTACTCGTGTCTTTTGAGCTCTTTGATTGTTAGGTAGTTAGGAGGAATGGATTATCAAATTGGGTCCATTAACAGGTAGATGTAAGGCATCCAAGATCTATTCAGGAATGGGTGAATATGGACTATAGACATCAAGGCTATCCGCTGAATTATGCTAGCTTTTTTGCCTTCCAACTATATCTATCAATGGATGAGAAAAGCCAACGAAACACGGTTGAAAATATGTATTTCGTGACAATCCACCTACTGACTTATCATGGAATTCCAATCAAAGAGGGAACTCCACTTTTATTTGTCAAGCTTCAAATCATATGCCACAAAATTACAACATCATAAACTCAGTGAAACCATGACCAGAAGAAGTGCAATTAACAAGAGCTGCTCCCCAGTGTATGGGAGATAATATTAACAATGGCGTACATGGGAAAGTTGCGCGTCTTCGTCTAAACAGCTATTATTAAAAAAAATGTGGTGAACCCCACCAATTTCCCAATTCATGATAATTAGTGATGCTGATGATGCGACAGTACTGTCACATTTGGTGGACGATGCATTTTATCTCCATTCAAATTGCAAATGGACGTTGTACTAAAAAAAATTGCAAATGAACGGTGGCCAAAATCAAAATGTGCAGTATTGAGTGCACAAACTGCAACACAAGGAACCGCATATTTTTTGGCGGAAACTTCAGCCTATAAACATGGGCTTTCTCCATCATTGTTAGTATCTCACAAGTTTAAGAGAAACTATTCTCTTAGTAACACCATTTAGAGAGAAAAATACCAAATGTTTTTTGTTCAGTCCGAGTACACTGTGAATATTTACACGTAGGTGATAGATGTATACACTCAGAAATATCTATAAAAGATGGAAGAAACATCTATCTTTTTAAAGGATAGAAGCTTGTATCATTTTAGATCCTAACCATTAATTTCCGTCCATCAACGGTTATAATCTATTGGGTCAAACTTAATGGGTCAAATTTATTATTAATTAATTAATAATTTTGATCCAATAAATTATAACCGTTGATGGACGGAAATCAATGGTTAGGATCTAAAATGATATAAGCTTATATCCTTTAAAATGACAAATGTTATTCCCATAAAAGATATATTATACGGGCATATAGTCAATATGTCAATCACTGCGCACTAATAATAGGCATATAGCAAAAGTGTGAAGAGTATGCACACTGATAGATTAGAGAGTAGGAAATTCAGAATGTGTACTTGAGATAGACTTGACCCTTTATTTATAGAAAGAGTTAGAGTCCTTATAGAATTGTGATTGTTAGAGTGTTAACAAACTTGAGGTCACCACCCCAAAAGCTAATTCAAATGGTGAGGGTGCTCAAGGCCTTATAAACCTCACATTAATTGCCCACACAATCATGTGGGATTATATTTCTCAACACGCCCCCTCACACGAGAGCCTACTGGACTTGAAGGGTGGACAACATACAAGCCCACCTACATGTGGAAATTCTACTACAAAGAAAGTGGGAGGCATGCCCCCTCACACGAGAGCCTACTGGGCTTGAAGAGTGGACAACATACAAGCCCACCTACATGTGGAAATTCCACTACAAAGAAAGTGGGAGGCGGTGAGATTTCAATGCTCTGATACCATGTTAAAAACTTTGAGGTCACCACCCCAAAAACTAGCTCAAAGGATGGGAGTGCCCAAAATCTTATAAACCTCACATTAGTTGCTCATACAACTAATGTGGGACTATATTTCTCAACAGGATAAGATAAGTTGTTTCATCCTTTATTCATGAGGATTATTGGGATAGGGACCTAATATAATAATATTTTGATCCATAACATTTTTTAATTGTTATTTCGAGTGAGATGTGTTTTTCTAATACAATAGAATATGATATTGGTCTTTCATTGTACTTTAGAAAAGTGTAATTTTTTACGCACAGCGAAAATCTTATTTGATATTGCCTATAATTTTTTCCAATTAAGTTTTTCACATAAATGTTATATGTCACATCAATTGACATTTGTCTAAGAAACTAAAATTAATTATTTAAGAAACTAAAGTAATTATTTATTTACTCGCCGTTATATAACACGGAGAGATTCTCACTTATTTACATTTACCTAGCCATTGTTGTGTTTCGCTCATGATATTCTGTTATCAGACAACTGACACTAACCATTATAGTTCACTGCATATTGACAAGTTGAAGAGGATGATGAGTGTCTATGATTTAAATTTGAAAATACAATAGCAGGTTAGTCATCTTATTCCAATTTCCGCGTGTCAATGGAGGAAATGTTTGTCTTGATGTAGGATAAATGGATAACTACCATCAGATACCGCACTATGTCAAAGGTGACGCTGACACAATATCCCTATTAGACAACATAGATTTTCGAAATTTTCAAATAACCCACGTTTCCCACGGGAGGTAAGGTGTTCATGGTTTTGAATTGATTCGATTTTGTAAGTAGAAATTATCTGATTAAATTCTTTCAGTTTGATCATATAATTATTTATTTGGATTATTTTT